CCATGTGCAAAGGTCAGTAAGTGAATCCCTCTTTTTATGTATAAAATGATGCATGATGCTATAGAAGTGATCAAATAAATATTCATTTTAAATTGAACTTTTTATTTATCCATTAGACATGACCTCTGTTCTAGTACCTATAATGCTTTTCGAAAAAGGAAAGCTATTGCTGTGGCTGTCTATTAAATCATTAATTTGTGTCAGCTCTATTAAGTGGCTGCTGTAAAAAAAAAAATAATGGAATTGTCAAGCAGCTCAGAATAAAGGTGCTCTGATTGTGAGCCCCACATTCTGAAAGAGCAGGTTAATTTCTCTAAATCTCACAGTTGGATCTTTCTAACACTAACTGGTGGTTTCCACCTAGTGATCAAGGCAAATTGACTAAAATAAATTATACATAAAGCTGAAATTCCTAATAGTAATAAGGCCCCTTCATGAGATAATCACAGCAGCAAAAGCACTCATCTGTTGACTGCAACTCTACAGGGTCTTGAAATTATCTTATAAAAATGATACTTCCAGAAGCCTTATTTCTAGTTTTAGGATAGAGCTAAAATGCCAGGGAGAATGAAATACTCAATGGGTGGTCAGTTGGAATACTGGTCTGTCATTCCAGAAGGCAATGTGACAGTAAAGACAACTCATGACTTTGAGTTAAAGGACTGTGCTTCAGCTCTACACTGAGATACCCACGTAACCTGAGTCTCAGGTTTCCATTTAGAAAGTGGACATAACAATACCGACCTCACAGGGCTGTTGTGGAAAAGACTAGACAGAACTGTCAAGGAGCAGTAAGGGTCTGAGATGTAGGTTTGGGGATCATCTTTCTACATAAATTTTTCAAGAACCACATTTGTCTTTTTCTGAAATTCTCACCTGAGGATATCTTTCTACATAAATTTTCCAAGAACCACATTTGTCTTTTTTTTGAAATCCTCACCTGAGGATACGTTTATTGATTTTAGAGAGCGAGGAAGGGAAAGAGTGGAGAGAGGTGGAAACAGAGAGAGAGAGAGAGAAACACTGATGGGAGAAGGAAACACTGATCAGTGTCCTCCTCCCCGTGCCCTGCTCGGGCTTCCGAGCCCAGACCTAGCCATGTGCCCTGACCAGGAATCACACCTGCAACGTTCTGGTGCCCGGGGCATGGGCCGAGTCAGTGCTTCAAACGACGGAGCCGCCCAGCCAGGGTAAGAACCACTTTAGCTTCTCATTACCATAACCTCGCTGAAGCAAATATTTTTTAAAGTTAGAAATTTTGGGTTTCTAGAACTTTGGAGTAATAGATAAAATGTTGAATATTAAATCTTTAGATATCACTACCCAATCATCTTCCAAAGTGGCATGTGAAAACTCTGATATAAGAGCTTGATATGAAAATGTCCATGTAAAGCTATCAGATTGCCCTGGCTGGTACGCTCAGTCGGGTGGAGCATGGTCCCATGACCCAAGGGTTGCAGGTTTGATTCCGGATTAGGACACATAATTAAGGGATGGGATCAGTCCCTGGTCCAGGCATGGAAGATCCCAGTCTCAGCACATGTGATCGATCCCCCGGTCAGGGTGTGTATGAGAGGCAACTGATCAATGCTACTCTCTTGCATTGATGTTTCTGTCTCTCCCTCTTTTCTCCCTTCCTCTCTCTCTAAAAGCAATAAAAATTTATCATTGAGTGAAGATAAAAAAAAAACTGTCAGATCATTCCAATCTTTTCACGTAGAGGAGGAGATCCAGTGAAACCTTCACATGCTATTACCAGACTCTAGGGACAGGAGTTCATTGCTGTCTAATTAAATGTCCTAAATCAATTAAGCAAGAATAAGACCAGAATGTAATAGAAGACAGTTGCCCCTATTGTCAAAGTTTTCATTCTAGAGAATTATTAAAGCTGATTTTTAAACATTTAGAAAAGCATATACTTACACCTCAGATAGTTACAGCGCAGGAAATGTAATGAACAAGATAAAAGTTTGTACGAATTGGGTATTTTCCTCACGTGTTTCTAGAGAAAGAGTTTTTCTCTATCAATTTGCTTGGTGCCCCAAGGGACATGACATTCAGAATAAACAGTGACTCTCTTTCAAACGGCTTATAGAACCAAAAGTAATAAGATTTTAAAACACTGGGAAGTAACTTCACTTGATTAATATAAAAATATGCTTAATTTTATGTACTGAGTATGATTATTTTATGTCCGAATGAAATTTTACATGCTACATTACATAATTCCCCACATCAGAAAGCAGTCTAGAGCTTGTAGCATCTCCCACCCCGTCTCTCTCGGGCTTATAAATATGACTGCAAAGGTTCTAATATCATGGTTCTTAATTGTTCATACAAAAGAATAAGACACTTAAGGTGGGAGAACACATAGCAGTCCTTTCTGGGGAAAAAAATTACATATATTCATTCTATATACAATCATCTTAAACTCTGACTCCTTGGTTCAGAAATGCCTGGGACCGGGATTGTTGAATGTGCTTCGGGTCTAAACTATGGTGTCAAGTCCCTAAATTAGTTAAATGTAGATCTGTTATGATGCTAAAATGAGTATTTTTCCTTATTACTCTTTCCCCCCAAGTTTCCATTTTGATATTTCCTTTTTTTAAAAAAACATTCATTCTTTCTCCATCCCATAGCTTTAAAATTACAGAAAACTTTACATATTTCTCCTACTTGAAGAGTGGTTTTTTTACATTTTACAACTCCTCTCTTCTAAAATATTACATAAAATTTTTTAAATTCCCTATATATAATGAGTGAATAATGAAAAGATACTGGAAGATAGGTAAGTTGTGAGTTTTCTTTGTTTGAAAATGTAGAGATGCCCATAAATTAAATGATGGGCCACACAGAGAGGTGTCACTTAAGAGAACAGTCATGTCTAAAGTGCCAATTACAGCTGTGACCATGACCTGGTCCTGCCACCGAGTGAGTTCCCCAGGGAGGGTACTGCGGCAGGAAGAGAGAACCCGGCAAAAAGAACCCTCCTCCTAACGAGCACTTTAAAACAGCAATTTTGTTCATTTACATTTCTCTTCTCTCATGAGGTTCAGATGAATCTGCCTACACTTTGTGTTGATTTTTATTATATTAATTCTCATTCTCTCATTCTGTATTTTCAGACTATGAAAAATAATTTATTCTACTAGGTTCTCCTGGTGTATCAGTTAATTTGTAGAGGTACCTGGGGGCTTAGGGTGAATTTAACACGTTAAAAGTAACTATTTCCTGCACTAATGGAAGTGAGCTATGACCTAGATGACTCAAGATGGGAGGTATTATCTAAAATTGCCATGTATTTCCCTTCAGAAATGTGTGGGAAATGATCATTCAAGCAAGGATCCTGTCTGCAAGAAGTTTACAGTCTTGTGGGAAAACCTAGATGTGTGCACAATAAGACAAAAATAAGACATATGTTGATATTTTTAATAAAAACATTAGTCACAAGAAAGAGCACTATTTCTCACACACACTGAATATATCACTTCTCAGTTATAGACAAATCATAGAACAGGAAGATATGCTTTTATCTTTTGAAGGTGGATATAATGAGTACCCTATAGAGTGATGACATTTCCTTAGATTTTTAACATATCTAGGCAGTTATTTCCACCCTGGAGACTCTGGCTGATTCAACATTCAGATAAAGTTATAGATAAAGCCAAATATGCACTCATAACAAGAGTATAACATGAGAAGACCTGAGGATTATGGCCTTCTCTGCCTCATTGCTATGTTGAAGTACATGTGCAGAATCCAACACAACCACTACCTTTGGAATCAAGATTCATTTTTTTGGCAGGAAAGATCAATAATAAATAAACCCTCACTTGCCATATACATAATTCCCCACACCAGAAAGCAGTCTAGAGCCTCCAGCATCTCCCACCCTGTCTCTCTCATGCTTATAAATATGACTGCAAATGTTCTAATATCGTGGTTCTTAATTATTTATACAAAAGAATAAGACATTTAAGGTGGGAGAACACATAGCAGTCTTTTCTGGGGAAAAAAATTACATATATTCATTCTATATACAATCATCTTAAACTCTGACTCCTTGGTTCAGAAATGCCCGGGAACGGGATTGTTGAATGTGCTTCGGGTCTAAACTATGGTATCAATGAAATAACATGAAGGGTTATGAGATGCCTTGTTTAGTATACTATGTACCACATTTTTCAGACTATAAGATATACCCCAAAATTAGGGATTAAATGGGGTGCATCTTACAGTCCAAATATAGCTTCACATTTGCATTGGTGAAATATTATGTTATTTATGTTATTAAATACTTTACCTCATTTTTTGCTTCAAAATTTTTTTCTATTTTCCTCCTGTAAAACCTAAGTGCATCTTATGGTCCAAAAAATACAGTATTTGTTTTCCAACCTGCCATTTAGATTTGTTACAAATGTTAGGTAACAAATAAGGAAAAATGGAAGTTAGACCTCACTTAAAATGAATAAAACAAAAAATTCAAAAACTTGCTTTGTTGCCTTTCAGCTACTAGAAAGTCAGAATTTCTCACCAACCAATAAAATTTGGTGGATCAGAAACAAAAGTCTTTTCCCCAAAAATCTAAATATAAAGTATTGGACACAATCCTATCTGCGGTGTAAAGAGACCCAAATTTAGGTCGGGGTGATATGACTGAAGCAGTGCTGGGCTCTTTGCAGAGATGTTCAGTAAAGCTATGGAAGTTGGCCAACAGCACCACAGTGCTATGCAGAGCGAAGTCTCTGAAAGAGTCATCTTGGTCTCATTTCCTGAACCGCTGAATTATGGACCTAGTTTGATGAATGTCAAGTATAAATGAGCTGATTACAAACTGAACGGGTGGCAATCATTCTTGATGATTCCTTAGTGAATGAAAAACCACTGGGTAAATGCCAATGAACCTAAGAGTTTTCTGATTCTAATTGTCACAGTCCTTCTCCTGAAGAATTTACAATGTATATGTACAAAGTATATTCATCTTTATCTGGTTTTTGCAGCAAGAGAAACTGGGCGATATCTGCTTCTCCCTGCGCTATGTACCTACTGCTGGCAAACTGACTGTTGTGATTCTGGAGGCAAAGAACCTGAAGAAGATGGACGTGGGTGGCTTATCTGGTAAGTCTGTGAAGTGTGTGTTTTTAGACGTTGCCTCATCCTGGTTACCAAGTGCGTGCACACGTGCTGTGACTCCCCAGTCCTTAAGCAACCAGTGTTCGTCTTCCAAGGAGGCTGGAAGTGGCCTCAGAGTTCATGCCAACACAGTGCCCCAGGAAGCCACTCTCAACTTAACAAAATTGGCACAGAAGATGAAATCTATTTTCTTGCTTTGTAGCAAAAGTACCCATTGTCAGTTCTATACCATTTAAAGCTGAAAATGGCTGCTTCTGCTAAAAGGCAATGGCAATGGCCGTTATAGTTTTGTGGAGTTTGGGGGTTTTCTATGGTCAAAATTCACATATCATATGAAAATGGTCTTTTATCTGAGATTTATTAGGGTATTTGATGGCCTAGCATAGGTTTAAAGATACTGTTTTATTAGAGATTCTACATTTCAAATGCATGTGAACAATAAAATCTGTTTAAGGGGGACTCCCACGGTAAACATTTATTTTCTATAGCTTATACTGGGCATGGGAAAGACTTTTGGATTTAAAGTTCTATGAAAACCAACCTTAGGTTTTTTCCCAAGGTGAATAAAGTAGTATGCTCTTGATCAAAAGCAAAGTCAACTCAAGGACTTGTCATTTTCAAAGGTAAATGTAATTTTTTTCTCCTCTCTGTGATTAAATCAATTATATTTAATTTTCCAGTAAATTATTGTAGTGTGAGAAATGTTCTTGATATGCCACAAGGTCATCCTACAGAGACTACAGTTGTCATTGTTTGTGGCCATGACACCAGCACTAGCATTCCTGGTTGTTCGGTGCTTCCTCTAATAAAAACACTGCGTACTTCAAAAGGTCACTCTGATGCAGCCTGGTGATTTTATATTCTAAAGCAGTGATCTTCACCTGGTATGCCAGCAGACTTCATAAAAACATGCACTACCTGACTATTAAGTCAGGGCACTGACCTCTTTCTGTTAGATTGTCAAGTAAAAAAATTACAACAGCCAATACAACAATAGCCATCTGGAGTGAATGGATCAAAATTATACCTATATTTTTGGTCAGAACAGCAAGAAATATATATTTTTGGTGTGCTGCAGAACTTTAGTAATTAGTTTATATGTGCCATGAAATGAAAAAGGTTGAAAATTGCTGTTCTAAAGTATAACAGCTTTAAAAAAGTGCTAAAGCTGAGTTTCTACTCACTGAACCACTAATTTGTTAATGAAATTCTCCTGGTGCTTCTTTATAAGTCTGTCGCCTGAGGAAGCTGCACTAATTCTTTTCATGTCACTAAGACCTCATTTAATAACTTACTGCTTCCATTGCCTAATAGCATAACATAGCAGACTGAAAGCAATGAGGACAGTTTCCTCAAAGAATGAAAAGAGTACTTAATGTGCTTAATGATGAAAAATATATGCATATATATCATCTATATAGACACACACACACTTACACACTTATACCTTTCCTGGCTCTGCTCACTGAAAAGGCCTAGAAACAAAGTGATCAAGTAATCATGAGCATCCCTAGCACCAGATATTGTCTGAAGATATGATTTCTCACTAAAAGAATCTGGGGTGTACTACAAAAAATGGGAGATTCCAGGTGTGACACAGGAAGTACTCAAGATAAGCCTAGACCACCTCATCATACCAGAAATGGGAAGCAGTTCCCGGTGGGGAAGTCAGAGAAAGCCTCCTGAGTAGGTAACGTTTCAGCAACAGCCTGGATAGAGATAAGAAAGTGAGCCTCTCTGGGACAGTTTAGGTGGAGGGACTCCATGAAGCCTTTCTGATTCATCCCAACAGAACAAATCTTCTCCTTTTTTCAAATGCCAACAGCGGTTTGTTTATATACCCTTCAACCATCGTGTTTCTCTCTCACTACAATGCACTCTGCATTTATATCTCCCACGATGCCCACACTGACTGGTAGCACTGAGCGTAGCTGCTGAATGAATAATGAATTATTTACCAAGGAACTGTGTGGCCTGAAAAAACAAGTCTTGCATTTAAAATTTGTTTAACCTACTTACCATTAAACTAACTTTACACTTGGATAGTCTGTGTCAAAGTAAGCTGTCCTATGTATGCCCTATGAAACCAAATTTATATATAATGAGATCATTCCAGGTAACTCAAATGCTACATTTGCTGGAAATAGCTCATTAATTGGAACCAAAGTGGGTTGTTTTTGCCAGGGTTTAAATCCCACTCTGCCACCACTAGCAACTCGGCATTGGACAAGTTATTTTAAGCTTCCTAAACCTCAGTTGCCTTATCTATAAAGTGGAAGTAATAAAAGAACCTTATTGATAAGTAAATAAAAGTACTGGGTCTGTCACACCTAAATGATCACTAAATATTACAGGCTTTTTGTTGTTGTTTTTTAATTTATTTCATTGTTGTTCAAGTACAGTTTTCTGTTTTTTACCTGGTCTACTGAAACCATTTTGGTTGAATTGATGAGGCAATCTCATCAAACAAATTGATGTACTTTCTTCCATTATTTATTCCATTGAATAAATAATTGGTTAAACTTTCGTATTTTGCAATTTAATCCAAGACTTGATAAAGTTACTAATACAAAAAATGCCAGGATAGGTGTCAAATACTGTTACTACTCTCCAACAGGGTCTTCTTATTTCTTCCCTACTATGTTTACTCAAGATGCACTGCATGAAGAGTTTGCTTCTATCATATACCCATGTAGCAAACTGCAAATTCCAATCCTTCTTACTTTACAATATCGAAATTTTTTTCTAACTTGGTTTATTGACGGGGTTCTCATTATATAACTGTGAGGTAGTTTTTCCAGGTTTTAGCCTCAGAGACCTGCAGTTTAGATCCATTCGATAATGTACATAAATCATCTTGCTCCACGTCCGGCACATAGGAGGTGTTCAGCACCGGCCATGGCTTTTGTCACTGGTATTAACAGTCAGAGTCACCTGATTTGTAGGTGCTACAGCTGAGACTGAAGCCCAGTGCAGAACACTTTCCAATAAACCACTCAGCCTTCCCTGTGCCCACACCTTCAAGATGGGAGAATAGGGATTCCCCAGCTCTCACATACTAAAGGGGCCTCCCCTGCCTGGAACTGAAACACCAAGAGGAAGTCCTTGGTGTTAATAAAACTAGAAATGGAGGCTTCGAGGGTTTCTTGAGGACAGTGGAAACTTCCATGTGTATAAGTCTCTATCAGTACTCTCAGAATCACAAAATTGGTACTTCATGTGTGGCTTTTGGCAGAGTTCTCTTCTTGCATGACCCAGTGTGAAACAGAATACAATCTCATAAACCACTCCATTTCCCTCTTTCCCTGAAGCTAGCACAAACTCCTTTTAAATGTTTCTCTGTGTTCGTGGTGCTAGGAACCACAGCAAGTTAACAAGGGTAAAAAGTTTGTAGCCCTGCTACCTAAACTGTAAAGAGAACAACAAAAGCATTGTTAAGCATGATGGTAAAAGGTTGCTCGAAAAACACATGAGAAACTGAAGTTATAAGGCCCTGGACAGGTAGCTCACTTTGTTAGAGGGCCACCCGATATTCCAAGGTTGCAGGTTCAATCCCTCCCTGCTCAGGGCACAAACAAAATTCAACCAATGAATGCATGAGTGATTAGAGCAACAAATTCTCTCTCTCTTTCTCTCTCTGCTCCTCCCTCCCTCCCGCCCTCGCTCCCTCCAGAGGTAGCTGTGGGATGGGATCCAATAAGTTGTGGCCTCAGGGCTGGTTGGAAACGTGGTTAAGTATTCTCCCTCATCATCTTTCTCCCTCCTACTTCCCACCCCAAGCCCCACCCTCGGTCTCCTTCCTGGCCATCCCTAGCCCTGTCTTATCTCTATGGAATCTGTACTATAGAGAGCAAAGGGCAGGGCTATAGGAGAGCCCCCCTCAAAGCATCTGAGTCTCAAAAAAAGGGGGCAATGAAATTCAGAAACAGCAGCAACAGTTTGAGGGAGATAATGGGTGAAGAAAAACGGGGAGTCACTGTAGTAAAGGAGTCACCACCGTCTGAATATGTCAGACTGCCAGTGTGCGGGTTGACCCCTGAGACCTACAACAGCAAGACTGACATTGCCCAACCACCCAACCCCCCACACACACATGTTCTCTCCCTTCTGTTAAATGCAATTTTTAAAAATTGTTCATGGGTTTGTCTTTTCTCGATTCTATTGTCATGGAAATATAACTTGGGAAATACAGCCAATTTAAATATTTGAAGTCATCTAAGAAAGACCGACACAGCCAACCTTAGGGAATCACTAGATTCTATACAGAAACCATGGATCAGCAGAGACAGAGCATTCTTTAGGACAGTATCTATGAAGCGTGATACTCTACCTTCGTTGGAGTCACCTGGGTCCATGTTAAAATTTAACATTTCAAGGACTACCTCAGCCTAAGTTGTAACTGAATATCTCAGGGTGGCACCTAGATATCGCAATTTGAAAATCCTCCCATGTTATTCTCACACATCTTAAGTTTGAAAACTATACTTTATAGAGCATATACAGTGTTATCTTAATCTATGGTAGTAATCATATCACAATATATAAATTTATCAAGTCACATTTAATACCTTAATCTTACACAATGTTATATGTCAATTATATATTTTTGGTTTTATTCTTCTAATTTTTATTTATATTTTATTGATTATGCTATTACAATTGTTCCGAATTTCCTCCCTTTGTCCTCCTCCACCAAGCACCCCCACTCCCTCAGGCAATCTCTACACCATTGTCCATGTCCATGTGTCATGCCATGTGTATAAGTCCTTTGGCTACTCCATTTCCTATATTGTACTTTACATCATCCTGGCTATTCTTTAACTACCCATTTGTACTTCTTAATCACCTCACCTCTTCATCCTTTCCCCCAAACTCCCTGCCATGTGGCTACCATCAAAACCCTCTCCATATCCATGATTCTCTTTCTGTTCTTCTAGTTTGCTTGGTTTGTTTTTCAGATTCAATTGTTGACATATATGACTTTT